TCTTCTCTTCTCTTCTCTTCTCTTCTCTTCTCTTCTCTTCTCTTCTCTTCTCTTCTCTTCTCTTCTCTTCTCTTCTCACACCTGTCAAGGTTGCTGTTTTATTGGCAACTCTGCTGTGCTGATGCTGGGGAAAAGGCTCCAATGGGAGGGAAAGTAGGTAGCACAGGTGCCTGCAGTTTTCTTAAGCAGCCTACTCTTCCACAGCATGAGATGGAAATTATATTGGTTGCCCTGTTGGATGACCTTCATTGAGGCCTGGATGGAGAAGAGTGCACCTCTTTAGTCCATTGGGACTTCTTGGCAGCCTTTGATACAATCAAGCATCACATCTTTCTGAGATGCCAATGAAGGTTAGGCATGGGGCACCATGGTACAGTGGTTCTGCTTCTTCCTAAGTGGGTGGCAAAAGGCAATGGTGGTAGGAGAGAGAGTCATCCAGACAGTAGCTGACTTGTGAGGTTCTGCAGGGATCATCGTTCTCCCCCCAGTTTTTAATATCTATCAGACTTTACACCACAGCCAATTGGGTATCAACAAAGCACATTTGAATATTTCAGGCATGAATAAGGGATTTCCAAACAACTAGATATGGAGTCACTTCTATCACCCTAACAGGTCTACATCTATATGAATTTTAGCTAACAGTAAAGACTTGGCTGAATAACAGACTAAATGACATTATTGAAGCTATTTGCCATGCTATACAAGTCTGCATTAAGATTTTTTTGATATCTCTTTCTAATATTTTCTTTTTGCAACTGATTCCTAGTATGTAGGTACTAACTTTTGAAATCTGAACATGCTGTAAAACCCACACTGGATGCAATGATGATATATCTGGCTTCTATACCATGATTAATTTTTATCAAGCCTTTTTTTGTTTTTAATTCAGGGGACTGGAGAAGGTTTGTGCTTAGTGTTGCAGTACAAAACATATTTAAAAATAAAATATTCAGTCAAATCCTGCCAGGAACATCACCCTATTTTCTTTCCCCATCTCATTGTTTATATCAACACTGGTGAATCTGTTGCAGGCTAAGAGCCATATTGCATCAAGACTTGGTTCCAGTGGTTACAAAAGGTTCTTGCTTTCATTTCTCTCTCTCTGTATTTTTCTCTCTTCATATATTGTTTTCCTGACTCTCTTTAAATTAATAACAGGATAACAGTTACATGAAAAGTTGTTTGCAGCTTGCAAACAGAGATGCTTACTCTCTTGAACTGACTTAGTGCCAATAACTCATAATCAGACATGATTGAAAAGTACCGTGAGAAGAGGAAACATAATGTTGTATTCATAGCCAGATACACTGACCCAACTCTGAATATGTGGCTTGCAATAAAAGTAGTGCTTTATCTCTTCCACTTCAGGCAGGGATGAGATTCAGCACTGGCTCTATCCCACATCCATTAAAAGTGCTGCAGGGTCAGGTGTCATAGTGAACTAGGTAATATCACTGAGCTGCATGGCTAATCATGTCTGGCTATGATCTGCTGCCAGTAGAGGTGAATAGAGCATGATTTGATGCTACTGACAGAAATCAAAACAGCAGGGCAAGTGCAAAATCCATTGATCTGGAAAAGAAGAGAGAACAAGACAAACCAGTAAAAGTCTGTTTTCATAACAATTGCCCCCAAATGGCTAAAACACAGGAAAAGTGTTCTGACACTGATTTTCCCCCCCCCACTCCATTAAGCAACACTTTTTGCAAGAAATTATCCAGTGTGGTGGCATTCGAAGAATTTCTTTAGAAAACTTACCTCTGAGGATAAATGAATGCTACATTCTGTAGAGGAAAATTCTTGGTTGCTCAGAAATATAATTTCTTCTAAAGTCTGAGAAAAGGAGATTATAACATACGACTGGGAGAGGCACTTTTAAAAAATTGGTATACCTACAGTGCACTATTTCTGCATTTGGCAGTATGATTATAATTACAAACAAATAGTGCAGTGGCAAAACGGCCCTTGGGCTTGTTCTGATTGGTCTTTCCCCCCTAATATTTGTATTCCCTGAGGTCATATATATTGTATAACATCTTTCCAATTAAGTCAGGACATCACTGCAACGAAAGGCATGGCAAGCACTGATCCATACAGAAGAATAATGGCAAGGTACATGCTTTAGAAATACTTGAGAAGTAGGCTGTGGAGTATGGTACTGTCAGATAAGGAGTAAAGAGAAAAGCAAATATTGACAATGAAGTTAAAAATGCCTTCAGATCAAGCTCAGCTCTTGTAGTTATATCCATACAGTTTGCCTAACAACATTATAGAAGTACTTTGTTGTTGTCTTTTCTGAGATTTTTCAACTTGCCAGCATAGACAAGAGCCCTTGCAGTTTCCCCAGCCAAGTACTAACCAGAATTGTCCCTGCTACCTGGACAGAAATATTGAAACTTTGTCTATTGGACAGAAATATATGATGAATCACCAGATCCTAATAGAACAAAGTGAGTCTTCGCAGCCAGGAGAAGATTTTCAAAAATTTTTTGAAAAATGGTTTATTCTGAGAGTTTTCAGTCCTGTGGTTATTTTCAGTTAATCAAATGTAGTTATATAAACCCTGCCAATTAGTAGATTACTGATGTTGCAGAATTGTGTGTTGTATTTCTGCCATCTACTGGACAGTGTAGATGGCAGAACATGAGTGTGAATGATCTGATGTTCCATTTTAGTAATGTATACAGGGAAGAGTTGAAGGAGGGGGTGCCAGGTGTACCACTTTGAATCCCTATAAATCCAAGGAAATAAATCGCTTTTTATGCAGCCAGCCAGGCATTCTGGGTTAGAGAGGCTGCTGCAAATGGAACTGTCAAAGGAGGAAGGGTGACTGTACATCATCTTCTGCCTCCCAAGAATGTTCAGCGTTCAGATAACTTCAGCAGTGAATCAAATACTCAATCCTGCCCCTGTTGTGTGTTCTACCTGAATTTCTCTCCTGCCCGAGAGATGGGGATGGCATGGGGGAAGTCCATATGGTACAAGGAGGGTATTCCCATACCAGGAAGGAACAGTAGAAAATTAAGTACCATATTTTTCCATCTATAAGACGCCCCCATGTATAAGATGCCCCCCACTTTTCCAACCCAAAATTAAGAAATCAATATTTTAA